TAGCTTAGCTTAGCTTATCTTAGCATAGCGCAGCGCTGTATAAGCATGACATAGCATAGCATAGCATAACATAGCCAAGCATGGCATAGCATAGCATAGCATAGCGCAGCATCGTATAGCATAGCATAGCATAGCATATACTTAGCATCGCATAGCGCAGCTTAGCATAGCATTGCATAGCATAGCTTAGCATAGCGTAGCACGGCGCAGCATGGCATAACATAGCTTAGCATAGTATAGCATGCCATAGCATAGCATATCATAGCATAGCATAACATAGCATAGCGCAGCATAGCATTGTATAGCATAGCATAGCGCAGCAAAGCATGGCATAGCATAGCATAGCATAGCATAGCAACTAATGCTGCTTTCCTAGGGGCTCCAACTTCTAGGTAGGGCCGCACTGGGGTAATTTAAAATCTTCCCTCACCCCATACTCATTCCCAATACGTGGTGCTGTGCAGGCCTCTGCATCGTACGGCCTGGGGATCCAGGCACTTTCAACACACAAAGCTGCGGGAGGCCAGATTATTGCACGCTTCGGTGCAAAGCGAGAAACTCTCTGTGCGGAGCCAAAAAGTCTACACCTCCACCACCACCACCTCCATCATCCCCTCCCTCTCTCAGGAAAGAGGAAAGGATGATGAGCGTGGAGGAGGGAGGAGGAATCGACATGGTGGTGGTGTATATGCTTGGGGTCCGCACCCTGGCCGCAGTATCAATCATACGCTGCAGCTCGCAGGAGTCTAGCAGACCGGCCCAGTGCATTCGCTTGATATTTCTCCGCGGTAGACCTTGCCTCGGGCCGTCTGGGCCTCCTGGGTCCCCAATGGTGCTGTCGAGGCTGGGCTGCGGGAAGCTGGGGCAGCCCTTTCTGGACACGCCTCTCCGTGGAAAGCCACCCGAAGGCCTCTTCGGAAGGGTTGCCGTCACCGCTTCAAGGCTCGGGATCGCCCTTGATGGGCTTCCGTCGCACCATCAGTGCGTTGGGAGGTTCTCTCCGTTCACGCTCTGCCCCAGGACGGTGGCTCGAGCAATTGCGGGCAATGTGGGTAGCTGGTGCTGACAGCGATTCTCTGTTCGCTTGTTGCGTGATGATTTTAAGCAGCAGCGGCCGTGCCTTGTGCCAGCTCGCGACGACATGCCTAACCTCGAGAGGCGCACGAAAAAGTTCACGGCACGCCCGTTGCTTCAGGAGGGCAGTGGCTCCAGGCTCAGCACAAAGATGTTGCTGAGTGCCAGAGTGGTCGCGAGGCCCCTGGGACCCTGCTGCACAGGCACTTGCCTTGTCCTGATCACCTGGAGGCATCTCAGATGGAGGCCCCCCGCTCCGCGGGGTCAATGCTGCAAGCTCCGCTCGCTCGCAAGCAGGCTGCTGGTGCCGCTGCAGGCTCCTCCTCCCGCTCCGCCCGATCCTCCCGCCGAGGTCTGGATGAGGAGGAGGAGGAGGAAGAGGAGGAGGAGGAGGAGGCCCTAGCATGCTGGAGGGGAATGCTTGACGGGAGTCTGCTTGATGCCCACTGGCCCCCCTCGGCCCGAAGTCTTGGGTGGGCCACCGTGGCCCTGGATGAGGATAGTCCCAGTGCGGCCGTCATCCTTGCTGGCGGGCTCCCTGCGTGCGTGTACTGGGCACTCCTGCATGCACTCAAGTTGGTGCTCCCGCAGGCTACGTTCCGGACGGACAATACGCTCATGCACGACAGTGCCTTCTCTAGATGGAGCCCTGTTAGGGGGCGACGTGCGAACCCTACCCCTCCCCCTCAGAAATCGTGGGGGGTAAGGGTAGGGTTCGCATCAAGCTAGCCAGCTCGAGCGAGTCAAGCATGGCATGCCCATTCCCACCCGCCCTCCCACAACATAAGAAACAGTGAAGGCACAACTGGGGGCTGCGCGGGCATTTAAGTGCGAGTGGAGGATACCCCAGGACACCGCATTGACGTCCGCGCGGGATGTGCGCCGCGTCCCATTCCCGCCACGCATTTCGCATCGTCGACGACAAGCTTGGCCACGTTGAAAGGAACAACGGACACGTTCCGCCCTCCCACAACATAAGAAACAATGCTGGCGCAAGTGGGTGCTGGCGCGTAGTGGTAGTAGTGGTAGTAGTAGGAGTGGTAGGAGTAGTAGTAGTAGTAGTAGTAGTAGTAGTAGTAGTAGTAGTAGTAGTAGTAGTAGTAGTAGTAGTAGTAGTAGTAGTAGTAGTAGTAGTAGTAGTAGTAGTAGTAGTAGTAGTAGTAGTAGTAGTAGTAGTAGTAGTAGTAGTAGTAGTAGTAGTAGTAGTAGTAGTAGTAGTAGTAGTAGTAGTAGTAGTAGTAGTAGTAGTAGTAGTAGTAGTAGTAGTAGTAGTAGTAGAGTAGTAGTAGTAGTAGTAGTAGTAGTAGTAGTAGTAGTAGTAGTAGTAGTAGTAGTAGTAGTAGTAGTAGTAGTAGTAGTAGTAGTAATAGTAGCAGTAGTAGTAGTAGTAGTTGTTGATGGTGTTGTAGTTGCAGTGGTAGTTGTAGTAGTTGTACTAGTAGTACTAGTAGTGGTAGCGGTAGTGGTAGTAGTAGTAGTAGTAGTAGTAGCAGTAGTAGTAGCAGTAGTAGTAGTAGTAGCAGTAGTAGCAGTAGTAGTAGAAGTAGTAGAGATGTGGTAGTAGTAGTAGTAGTAGAAGAAGAAGAAGTAGTAGTAGTAGTCGTAGTAGTAGTAGTGCAGAAGCAGTAGTAGTAGTAGTAGTAGTAGTAGTAGTAGTAGTAGTGGTAGTAGTCGTAGTAGTAGAGTGGGGATGCGAATAGGAGGTAGTACTAGTAGTACGAGTACTCATACGAGTAGTATAAGCAGAAGTACTACAGGTAGTACAAGTACTCGTACGAGTAGTAGTACCGAGTAGTAGCACGATGGAAGTATAAGTACTAGTAATACTTGTACTACTGCTAGACTAGTAGTAATGCCATTGGTAGTACAATTTGCAGAACAAGTAGTAGCAGGAGTAGCAGGAGTAGCAGGAGTAGTAGTAGTAGTAGTAGTAGTAGTAGTAGTAGTAGTAGAGTAGTAGTAGTAGTAGTAGTCGTAGTAGTAGTAGTAGTAGTAGTAGTAGTAGTAGTAGTAGTAGTAGTAGTAGTAGTAGTAGTAGTGGTAGTAGTAGTAGTAGTAGTAGTAGTAGTAGTAGTAGTAGTAGTACTAGCGGTAGTAGTAGTAATAAGTAGTAGTAGTAGTAGTAGTAGTAGTAGTAGTACTAGTACTAGTAGTAGTAGTAGTAGTCGTACCAATGGTACTAGTAGCAGTAGTCAGGATGGGAGGGCCCGCAGCCCGCATGGACGTCCGCGCGCGATGTGCGCCGCGTCCCATTCCTGCCACATATTTCGCACCGTCGGCGACAAGGCAGGCCATGCTGAGAGGGAAAAAAACGGAGACTTTGTATGGATTTTTTACAGTCAGGATGGGCGGGCCCAGATTGACTGCCGCGCGCGATGCGCGCCGCGTCCCATTCCTGCCACGCTTTTCGCATCGTCGACGACAAGAAAAACGATGTTGAGAAGAAAAACGGTCACTTTGGTATTGGTTTTTTACAGTCCGGATGGGAGGTCCCGGATTGGGTCGCTATCGGCGAGAATACGAGGTAGGTGGGGGTACATAATAATAAGGAACAAGGGTGGGGCAATCTACCTGGGCTGCTCCAGCAGAGCGGCGTGGGCTGACCTCTGGTGTTTAGTGTGGGCTGCCAGCGATGAACGTGGCGGGCTCGACTGCCTGTCTTTGCGCAAGTCTAAAACTCACGCCACTGTTGCCGACCTTGAGCGAGTGGTAATCGGCCACCGAACTCGCCAGGGCAACTCGCATGCTGATAAGACGGCCAAAGAAACTGCCAGCTACACCGATTCTCCCCTTGCGTACCGTGATGAGTTTCGTGCTCAACATGAGGCGGTCTCCTTTATGACTTCCTGGTCTGGGTAATCCGGGCCGAAAATGGTCGACCTCGACTGCATGCACGTGCCACCAGGCGAGAGAGCCGTCCGTGAGACTTGTGTACTGTTCTTCCGCCGCCACCTGTAGTGGCGCCCGTCGTCCATCGTGCTGACGTCGCCTCAACCGCCGTGCAGAGGGCGGGGAACGCCACACGCCGTGCCTTCCCGACCTCCTTGGCCGCTGGTGTTCAGGGTGGTGGCCTGCGCTCTGTGTGCGGCGCGGGCAGTGGCACTCCCTCGGACAGCGTTCTGTCTCAGTGCGATGAGCGTCCCTCCGTCTGGGGCGCGCGCGTGCTCACGAATGTGGCCCAGGGAAGATCTCTGCTAAGGGACAGCTCGGATTTTCACGGGGCCCTGGCGTCCAAGGGGCCTCGTCGAGTCTGGCCAGGCTCTCGGGCCTGGAGGAAGTTTCCGGGAGGGGGGACCCTGCCGCTGGCCCTCACCTGGGCGGTTCGCAGCCCCGGTGCGCTGACCGAAAGGTCTCACTCCACTATGCTCCACCCCGTTTCTGTCAGGATCGAGGGGCCTCCCTCCCCTTCTTCATCTAATGTCTGATGAGCGCTGAAGAGGAGGAAACGGAAGAGGAGGAGGAGGAGGAGGAGGACGAGAGCGAGAACGAGGACGAGGATCGAGGGAGTAGGAGGGGGAGGGGGACGAGAAGGGGGAGGGGGAGAGGGGGGAGGGGGGGCGAGGAGGAGGACGGCGGCGGCGAGGGGGGCGTCCTCTTCGAGTCGCAACTGTCTGCCCTGCCACGCGGGCTCCAGCGCGAACAGCTCCTGCAGGAGCCTCTGGCAGGCCTGGCCCGGGGCCGCGGCGGCAACAAGCAGCGGACCGGCCCCTCGTCGTCGTCGTCGTCGTCGTCGTCGTCGTCGTCGTCGTCGTCGTCGTCGTCGTCGTCGTCGTCGTCGTCGTCGTCGTCGTCGTCGTCGTCGTCGTCGTCGTCATCACCATCATCGTCACGGTCATCGTCATCGTCATCGTCATCGCCGCGATGTATCGTCATCAGCCCATCGCCATCACCAGCAACAGCATCATCGACCTGATCCTCCGTCCCCTCCCTTCCCCTCCCCTCCCCTCCTCCCCTGCCCTCCCCCCCCTGCCCTCAATGGTCGTCATCGCCCCCTCCCTCCATCCCGCCCTCCCTCCCCTTCCCTCCCTCCCTTCCCCTTCCCTCCGTCCCTGCCCTCCCTTCTCCTCCAAGACCGGCCCACCGACCTCCCCAGGGGCGCGCTCTAAGAGAAGAGCCCCCCCAAACCCCTCCGGGAGGAAAGGGGGGGCGCGTTCCGCCCAGAAGATCGAAGGGTATCTGGCAGAGGCGAGGCGAAGGGCCGCCGCGGGGAAGCCCCCGAAGAGGCCTAAACCGCCCAAACGCCTCGATACATGAACTTCGGTCCTTGACCCTCCGCCCTTTGCCTGCTCCTCCTCCTCCTCCTCCTCCTCCTCCTCCTCCTCCTCCTCCTCCTCCTCTTCCTCCTCCATTCCTTTCCCTTCTGAATAACTCCTCCCCGTCCCACCCCGAGGCGTGTCGGTACGGCGGGAGGGGCGTTTCGCCTGAGACTTCCTCAGCACTTATGACCATCAAGGTTGAACTTGCAAAAGCTCCCCGTATAGAGGGCGGGCGGTTTTCGTCTTCAAAACTTGAAAAGAACTTCACGAACGGAGGCCGGCTCTTTTTCAACATGTGGCACTAGCATTAACGCCGCGCATACTCGTCTTAAAAAATGCACGCGTTTCACGGGTGAAGGCGGGCGCTTTTCAAAATTTGGTTCTCGCTTTGCGCCGCGCACATTCGCCTTAAGAGCTTGCAACAGTTGCAAGGATTGTTGTGGCCGACGGCAAAAATGATGTTCAGGCACGGCGTAGGACTGCGACAGCGCGGCGTTGAAGTCCCAGGAATGGTGATCTGGCACGACTCAGGATCGCCATGGCGCAACAGTAACGTTGATTCGCGGCATTGATGTCAAAACTCTGGTGTCTTGGCACGATACAAGGTTTCCAGACGTTTGTCTTCCAACGGGACACGTCTCTCAGTGAAAAGACACTGTTGTAAGGGCTCATGAACAGGGAACTTGGACGGGGTGTGTCGTGCAACATCGCTGAAATCTGCGATGCGACCTGCTGACTGGCTCTTTGGTTGGGAAGGGGGCCCCGCGATCGCCAGAGGGAGAGAAAAAAAGGCGCACTGGGAGGGGGGGGTGGAACGACCGAACGATCGAAGATAGCGCGAACTCGCACCTCAAGCCAAATACCAGCTGAAGATCTGCATGCACCCGGCTAAGTGGCAGGCGTGTCCTGCGAACGCGGGCGGCCCAAATGTCCGCTGCTCCGCGCGGATTCAAGGAATCCGCGCGGACCGCGAAAAAATATGTTTATGCAGTCTGTTCTTCTTCGAATCTGGAAGGCCTGGAATACTGTGCGGTCATGGAGGAGTCCCCACCTTGGACACTTCCGGAAGTTCTTTATGTACATTGCATGCGATGCCAGGTGCCTTGGCGTTCTGCTTATTTCTGTTTTTGCCCACGCGCTTCGGCATATGGCTTGGCGTAGCCTAGCGCAGCGCAGCCGGCGACCCCTCCAGGCGGCGGCCTGCCGCCAGTCCTCGCCCTCCAGCAGCGCGCACCTCAGCGGGCGCAGGCAGTCCAGCTCCTCGCCGATGGGGGGGAAGGCGCGCCCCCCGCCCAACAGCCACTCGACCCGGGCGACTTCCTCCTCCTCCTCCTCCTCCTCCTCCTCCTCCTCCTTCTTATCCTCCTTTTCCTCCCCTTCCTCATCCTCTCCTTCCTCCTCCTCCGAGAGTAAACTCGGGCGAGGAAAAATCGAGAATCTCTGAGCTCCGGCGGCTCCGCAGGATGTCTCGAGCACGAATCTCGGAGCGTTCCGTAACGCTCTGAGAGCGTTACGAAACGCTCTGGAACAGATTTCTCCTCGTCCTAACCCCGTCCGATCCACCCGTTCTCCTGGTAGAAAACTCCTCCCTGTCGCACCCCCAGATGTGTTGGTAGGGCGGGCCGGGCGTTTCGACTCAGACTTCCTCACCGCTCATGACCTGAATCTAGAAATTCGCAACAGCTGAATGGATTGAGGGCGGGCCGTTTTCAAAATATGGCTCTCGCCTTGCGCTGGGGACCGGCTCTGTTTCAGAATGGGGCTCTCGCCCTAGCGCCGCACACATTCACTTTGAAATTGTGTAACAATGCCAAAGATTCGTACGGTCGAAATCCGCCGACCCCTTGTGGGTCTCTAGGCGTGTGAGATAATTCCCCCCCCCTAACCCCCCCCCTGGAACCCCAAACCGGAGATTTGACCCCCCCCCCGGGCCCACGACGAGCGCGTCACGGGGCTCTTTTGGGCCCAAAAGGGGATCAAGACGGGCCAAGAAGGCCCCAAGACTCCTCCAAGACGGCTCACGAGAGCTCCGAGGCGCCAAACGAGCGCTCCCAGACGCCCAACGCCCCAAGAGGCCCCCAAGAGGCGCCCAAGTCGGCCAAAGAGGGCGCCAAGACGGCCCAAGAGGCCCCCAAGACAGCCCAAGAGGGCCCCAAGACGGCCCCAAGAGGTGCCCAAGAGGGGGAGCCCGAACCGACAATCCGAGCCTTCCGCCCCAAGACGGCCCCAGAAGGCCCCAAGAGGCCCCAAGAGGCCCCCAAGACGCCCACAAGAGGCCCCAAGAGGCCCCCAAGAGGCCCCAAAACGGCCTCAAAACGGCCCCCAGCAAGAAATATACGGGCCCCAATCCAACGCTTCCACCCTTTCGGCATCTCCAGAACGATGCCAAGATTGCATTAGCGTCCTTTCTTTTCCGATGGGCCCCCCGGGGCCTCGATATGACCCCAAGCGGATTCCACATAGCCCCAAGAGAGGTCATTATGGACCCCTACACGACTCCCCAGCCCGATTCAAGCGAGCCGGCAAGACCGCCAAGATGAGAGGTCGGCGGATGTGGCGTAAGCCTATAGAATCTTAGGAACTATCAGCTGGCAATACTCAGGACTGTCAGACCGCAGCTGTCACGCTGATTCGCGGTGTTGGTCTCCCCGGAATGGAGTTCTGGTACAATTTAGGACTGCCAGGATGTAATAAGCACGTTAAGTCGTGACGCTGAAGCACCAGGAATGATGTTTCGGCAAGATGGAAGACTCTCAGACGTCTGCCTTCCAGCGAGCATTCCCTGCAAGGAGGGCCCTCTGAAGAGGGAAATGTTGGCGACGCGCACAAAGGGGACAGGGGGATGGGGGAAAGGATTACTAGGAGGAGACAAGGAGACTGTTTCTTAGAAGGCGCCGGCTCTACATCTATAGACACGGCCCGCGCCTTCTAAGAAACACTCTGTGTTTCTAAGAAGCCTTTCCCCCTCCCCTCAGCCCCCCTCTGCTCGTGGCTGAAACTCGGATGGGGAGTTGACCGCAGCATCGCTGATGCGTTTTGGGTTCACGCTGGCCCTCCTCCATCCCGCTCCGGCGAGGCGCGCCCGTGGGGCGGGCCAGGCGTTTCATCCGAGGTCTCCTCGTGATCTGGGGCCCGGAAGCTCGACATCTCCAGCAGCTGCAAGGATGGCGGGCGGGCCCGTCATCAAAAGGGAGGAGCCCTCGCCTTAGCGCCGCACGCGTTCGCCCCAGAATACTGCAACAATTGTACGGATGGGGGGCGGATCCTTCTCAAAACGGGCCTCACGCGTTGACGCCGCGGACATTCCGCCCAGAAGCCTGCAGCAAGTGCGAGGCTGGAGAACGGTTCCTTTTCCACCTTGGGTTTTCGCGTGTGACCTTCTCACGTTCTGGGACTCGACACCAGCACCAGATCAGGTGCAACAGCTGCACTGAATGCGTTGTTCCGAACTGCACGCCCCTGTGGTGAGTGACGCCGACCGTGCGTGGTCGCGGCTTCCCCTGCCGCCACGCCAACTCCTGTGTTCCACAAAGCAGGATAGCGTCCCATCCGTTGAACACTTGACTGGTAGCCTCTAGTCGGTCGAAGGTCGATGCTGCTAAAGGATTTGTGGGTCCAAATCCTCACAGCGCAGACGAGGGCGAGAAGCATCGATGTGTCGTGCTCCCCCATTCCGCCCTTGCCGAAATCTGGAGAAGTAGCCGAGAGGTTGCTGACGCGGAACTATGTCGCTCGACGGCGGGTTGGTGATCTCGCAATCCTTCCCGCGGCAGCCTGAGGGAGGGGGGGTTTTGGATTGCGCTCTGGTTCGCCGAGGAGACGGTCAGCTTGGTGCGGCACCCACTAGCTGCTGGCAGAAACACGCGGTATCTAGCAGCACGGGCGCCAAGGTTTGGTGAATCCTCCCGCCCCCGTCTAGGGAGGGGGGAGGAGGGAGAAGGGAGAGGAGCAGAGGAGGAGAAGGAGGCGGGGCCCCGTTCCTGCAAAACCAGGACCCAGCAGCACACTGCGGTTTGGGAGAGATGGGAGGAGGCGGGAGCCAGGGAGGCAGGGAGGGAGGGCGACAGGCACAAGTTTTAGGTCGGGCATGTCCCCGGGGATTTCTCGACGACAAATTAAAAATAGTCCAGTAATGCCCCCAAATGGTCAAAAAATGATCAACAAATCGTCCCCTGACTATTTTTTGACTATTTTTGAATATCCCCCCTGTAGAGGGAAAGGCCCGACTTAACACAAGTCGAAAAAGGAGGACTCGCAGGATGCAGGGGGCGGGGCAGGAGGAGGCTCACAAACCGTCGAGCCCGGGGGCCAAACAACCTCTGGAAGAAATACGGCGAAACGTCCAGGATCGGTCAACATCGAATCGGGACATCCGATCGGATCGGAATATGCGTCGGATCTGGCCGCATCGGCACGGCATTGACGCCGAATCGGATCGGGCCTGCCAGGATACACAATAGCATCATGCAAGCATCGGGCCGCGCTGGCTCGCAAGACTACCAGAGCCGAACGCGGAAGCGAAGACGAGACAGACGAAGGCGGGAAACAGCAACGCCAAGAGCACGTCCAGACCTGACCTGCCAGAGCCGCTCCTGGAAGCCGTCGGGCGCCGACGAGATGAGCTCCATTAGGCAGCGCACCTCTCCGCCGATCTCTGCCTGGAGGAGCACCTGCTCGCACGAGCACTGCGGTGAACAACCGCCTCTCCCCCCTCATCCCTCTGCTCCTGTTCCTCGCTGTTTCTCCCTCCACCCACCTTCGAACTCATCGGCCTTCTCATCACATTCCTTCCCAAGTCGCAACTGGCACCTCGTCCTCCTCATCCCCCTCCTCTTCCTCCTCCTCCTCCTCCTCCTCGTCCGCCTTCTCCTCCTCCTCTTCCTCCTCCTCCTCCCCCCTTATGCAGATGTCCTTGTGCTTGTCCTCCTCCTCCTCCTTCTCCTCCTCCTCACCACCACAGAGAACACCACCAGCATTATCATCATGGTCAACATTATCATCCTCATCAGCATCAGCATCAGCAGTATCATAATCATCATCATCATCATCATCATCAGCAGCAGCAACAGCAGCAGCATCAGCATCGTCATCGTCATCGTCATCAGCATCATCACCATCATCATCATCAGCAGCAGCATCATCAGCATCATCATCAGCATCATCATATTCATCAGCATCGTCATCATCATCTGCATCAGCATCGTCACCAGCATCATCAGCAGCAGCATCGTCACCATCATCATCATCATCATCAGCAGCATCATCAACATCATCATCATCATCATCAGCATCATCAACCTCATCATCGTAATCATCATCAACGTCCGCAGCAGCTGCATCAGCCTCATCACCGTCATCGTCATTAGCATCAGTATCAACATAATCAGCATAATCACCATCACCATCACCACAACCACCATCACCATCATCCTCATCCGCATCATCACCACCACCACCAGCATCATCATCGTCATCATCATCAGTATCATCATCAGTATCATCATCATCATCATCACCATCATCATCACCATCAGCATCATCATCATCAAAATCATCATCATCATCGCCATCGGCATCGTCGTCATCATCATCAGCATCATCAACATCATCAGCACCATCATCATCATCATCATCATCGTCGTCATTATCATCATCATCATCATCATCATCACCATCATCATCATCATCATCATCATCATCATCATCAGCATCATCATCATCATCATCATCATCATCATCAGCATCATCATCATCATCATCATCATCATCATCATAATCATCATCATCATCTCATCATCATCATCATCATCATCATCATCATCATCAGCAGCAGCAGCAGCAGCATCATCATCATCCATCATCATCATCATCATCATCATCATCATCATCACCACCACCACCACCACCACCACCACCACCACCACCACCACCATCATCATCATCATCATCATCATCATCATCATCATCATCATCACATTCATCAGCAGCAGCATCATCAGTTGCAGCAGCATCATCAGAAGCAGCAAGATAATCAGCATCAGTATCATCATCAGCATCAGCATCATCATCGTCATCATCATCAGCAGCAGCTTCATCACCGTCGTCGTCATCTTCTCCTCCTCCAACGCCGCCGCTGCCTCCGCTTCCGCCTCCGCCTCCGTCTCCGCCTCCTCCTTCTCCTCCCTCCATCCCTTCCTCCCTCCCTCCCTCCTCCTCCTCCTCCTCCTCCGCCTCCGCCTCCGCCTCAGCCTCCTCCTCATCCTCCTCCTCCTCCTCCTCTTCCTCCTCCTCCGCCTCCTCCTCCTCCTCCTCCTCCTCCTCCTCCTCCTCTCCTCCTCCTCCCCCCTCCTCCTCCTCCTCCTCCTCCTCCTCCTCCTCCTCCTCCTCCTCCTCCTCCCTCCTCCTCTCCTCCTCCCTCCCTCCTCCTCCTCCTCCTCCTCCTCCTCCTCCTCCTCCTCCTCCTCCTCCTCCTCCTCCGCCTCCTCCTCTCTCCTCCTCCTCCTCTCCTCCTCTCTCCCTCCCTCCCTCCCTCCCTCCCTCCCGCCCTCTCCTTCCCTCCCTCCCTCCCTCCCTCCCTCCCTCCCTCCCCACCTCACCCCCTCGTCTCCCTTCCCCATCTCAAGATCTGGCCGAGGCCTTCCGTAATCGTATTGGCTCAGCCAGGCATGTCTTTGGCGTCGTGCCTTGCACATCCACGCGGTGGTTGAAGGACATCGTGACGCGTCGGCGCGTCTTGCATGTGCGACGAGATCACGGTGACAGGGCAAGGCAACGAGTATGGTCAGCTTGCTGTGCGAAAGGCGGTATACCTATCGTGGGGGGTGTTTGTGCTCATTATCTGCATTGTCATGCTCGTTAAGGTCCTTGCTAGGCTGCAGGCCATAGGAGGGTCGTAGGAGGTTCCGCGGCTTCGAGCCCAATCAACCCCTGCTCCCTGCGGCCTGGGCGTACTTCAACGTGCTGACTGGGTGGGAATCTGGTACCTTCGCATGCTTTCTTTAATAGCGGTCAGTCTTGTGAAAGCTCTGGGGAACAACTAATGTACCGCCCTGCAACGTCCATACTGGTGGTCATCTGCTTGTTGTTCCACCTGTTGTTCGCATTGTTCGTTTACAGTGTACGCGGGAGTGACTTCCCATGCTCAGATGCGGTCTCTCCCTCTCTCTCTCTCTTCTGGCTGTCGCCGTGCACTAAGATGACGTGCAGCACGTGGAGGCTTCAGTTCGTCGTTTCCGTCTTTCTTTGCCTCGCGTCGCTGGAGAAGCACTGGGGGTTGGGCTCAAGTTTGTGATTCAATTGCTTCACAATGCTCTCGCTCCCCCTTCCCCACGCACTCCCCTCCATCGTCGATTCTGCCTCGGCGTCTCTGCGCAGCCTGCCTTCCAACATCCCTGAGGCTGCTGACCGTGCCGGCGAAGTGCCTTGGGGCATAGGGTCGCTCGGCCGTTCGCGCCAGGGCGCTGCGCTCCACGAGCTTCTCCGGCCCGACGGGCCGGGGGCGTGCTGAGATCTCCGGGCAGCACGCTCGACTCACCAACCTCTGCTCCGCGCGCTCGCGCCTTGCGTGGCGGCACCTATGGGCGTCCCGGAGCGAAAAAACTCCGCCGGCGGAGCCCCGGGGGCTCCTATGGCAAGCTCCCGGCAAGCTCCCCCGGAGCGCCCCAGACGCCCCCCGGACGGTCCAGGCACCCCGAGTCGACGAAGGATCGCTCCAGGGCGCACGAGATGGCCCGCGGACAGCTCAGGAGGCCTCCGAGAAGCGCAGAGAGAGAGCCTCGGGAGGCCCTCCAAGAGGGCCCCAAGAAACACACATCGCCCCATTCCCTCAGGAAAACCTGCATGTTTCGCATAAACGACTTTGAGGTTTCACAACCAACACGGCCCAGCATGCCCCCAAGATGAGGCCAAGACGGCCCCAGAAGTCTGCAAGACAGCCTAAAAGGCCCCTCAAGACGGCTCCAGAGGATCCCAAAAGAACCCGACCCTTTCCGGCGAGATCCCTCACGAGGCCGCCAGCAAGGCCCCGAGAAGCTCCCAGAAGCCCCAAAAAACTAGCCCAAGAAGCCCCAGAGAGGCTCCCAAGAGGCCTCCCAAGAGGGCCCACGACGTCTCCCAGAGACTCGTCTTGTCGACGACCCATTTCGTCTGAAGAGTTCCCCAAGAAACTACACGTCGGTCTGAAGAAGTAGGTAGAAGCATGAAGCAAGGAAGGCGGATATAGTGGATTGGGTCCAGGTCCTCCCAGAGAATAACAAAACACAGCAAAAGCATGTCGATTCTTGAAGTAGGAAGGCGCTTGACGTAGATTGGGATCTGGAGATCCAAAAATACCTACTTTCAACGACCAGCGTGTATCGACAGACCTCCTCCTTCTCCCCATCGTCCGCTTATGCGACAGTCTGTGCCTGCGGAATGGGCGAGGCGATTAAATCCGCTGGCCCCCTTGCGGGGCCATCAGGCTGCGAGGCTGTGGTTTGCTGCTCCCCGGCCTCAGACCCACAAGCCAGGCACGGTGGCGGGATGGGCCGAAGGCCACTAGGATCCGCCGCCCCCTGTCGATTCATCGAAGGGGTGCCTGGCGTGCTGGACCCTCTCGGTTTTGGTTTTGTCTTTATTTTTTCCGAATGAACTCCCCCTGGGGCTTCGGCCCGTCCCGCCGGCCACCCGGAAAGGATCTCAAAACCCGGTTGCAAAGATTTTCCCTGCTCCAGACGGCTCCAAGACGGCCCAAGATGGTCTCCAAGATGCTTCCAAGACGGCCAATATAGCTTCCAAGACGGCTAAGATGGCTCCAAGATGCCTCCAAGACGAGCCAATCTGCACCCAAGACGACCTAAGATAGCCTCAAGCTGGCCCAAGACGGCCCAAGAGGCCCCGAAGAGGCCTCCAAGACGGCCCAAGAGGCCTCCAAGAGGTCCTCCAGGAAGGCCCGCAGAGGCGAAGATCATTGCTTGTCCTTAGGTGTTTGACGGACTTTGGCGGTTGCGCCTTTTCGGCTTTCCGACGGCCCAAGACGGCCCAAAAGGCCCCAAAGGTCGCCCCAAGATCGCCCAAGAGGCCTCCAAGATGACCCCATGACGGCCCAAGAGGCCCCCAAGTCGGCCCCAAGAGGGCCCCAAGACGGGCCAAGAGGCCTCCAAGACGCCCAAGATGGCCTCTAAGACGGCCCCGAAGCGCCCCAAGAGGGCCCCAAGTCGGCCCAGAGAGGCCCCCAAGACGGCTCCCGACGGCGTCAGACGTACCAGGAACCCGCCAAGATGGCCGAAGTTGGCTCGAAGCTGGCCCAAGACGGCCCAAGAGGCCTCCAAGAGGCCTCCAGGAAGGCCAGAAAAAAGGCCAGAAACACTTGATGTCCTAAGGTTTTTGAAAGATCCTGACATTTGCTTCTTTTCGGCCTTCCGACGGCTCGAGACGGCCCAAGAGCCCCCGAAGATTGCCCAAAGATCGCCCAAGAGGCCTCCAAGCTGGCCCAAGACTGCCCAAGAGGCCCCCAAGACGGCCCCAAGAGGCCTCCCAGACGGGCCAGGAGGGGTTTAAGACGCCCAAGATGGCCTCCAAGACGGCCCCGAAGCGCCCCAAGAGGGCCCCAAGTCGGCCCAGAGAGGCCCCCAAGACGGCTCCCGACGGCGTCAGACGTACCAGGAACCCGCCAAGATGGCCGAAGTAGGCT